ATTTATATATAATATATATATATGTATATATTGAGAGGGTAGATATATTATATATATATATATATATAGCATATATATGTATATATATATTATATATATATAATATCTGTATATATATGTATAGATATATATATTATATATATATAATTATATATAGTATATTATTGTATATATATATTATAGATAGATTAATATTATGTATATATATATATATAATATGTATATAATATATAGATATATAAATATGTAGAAAAGATAGATATGAATAAATAATATGATATATAATAGAGATATAATATATAAGATATATCTATTAGATATTATAGTATATATATTATTTATGTCTATATATATATATATTATATTATTGATATATATATTATATAATGTAATATATATATAAGTTATATTAGATGTATAGACTCATATTATATATATATATAGATATAATATATATATAGATATAGATATATATATATATATTATAGTAATATATTCTATGATATTATATATATATATATGTATATATATTATGTATAATATATGTATATATATCTATATATATAATATATATATATATGTATATGTATAGATATATAGATATATATATATATATATATATAGATTATATATATATATATATATAATAATTATAATGATTATAGTGTTTATAATAGATATATATTATATATATATAGTATGTATATAGATAATATTATATATCTATAGTATATATGTATATATATATCTATATTATATGATATAGATTTATATATATAGATATATATTATTGTATATATATATATGTGTATAATAGATATAGGTATATAATTATATGTATATATATAGAATATATATATATTTGATATATATATATTATAGTATATATATATATATATATATATATATATATTATATGTATATATATTAGAGTATATATATATATATATAGTCTAATATATCTATATAATAGATATATTATATGTATATATATATATATATATATATATATATATATATTATATGTCTATATAGATATATATATATATTATATGTATAGATTATAGTTTATAATCTATAACTATGTATATATATGTAGATATATATATATATAGATTATATTATATATATAGATATATAGTATATATATATATATAATATATATATATTATATAATATTATATTAGATTTATATATTATATATTTATATATAGATATATATATTATATGTATATATATATATATATATATATATTAGTTGTATATATATCTATAGTATATATATATATATGTATATATGTTATATATATATATATATATAGATTATATTTATATATAGATATAGATATATATATATATAGATGTATAGATATATTATATATATATATAATATATATTATATATATTGATATATATAATATTATGTATTATATTATATATATATATATGTATCTATATATATATGTATATTATATGTAATATATATATATATATATTATATATATATGTATATATGTATGTATATATATAAATATATATATATATGTATATAATATATATATATATGTATATATATATATATATATATATTATGTATATATATATATCTATATATATATTATATATATATATATATTATTATTATATATATATATATAATATATATTTATTATCCTATATGTATATATATATATATCATATATATATCCATATAATATAGGAACCATAGGAATGTGCCTAAATGCCAACAGCGACTGCCCAGACAGGTACAAGAGGAGTGTTGTTAACGCATATGTCGACCGTGCTCTCAGCCACAGCTCAGAATGGAAGCACGTCGACGAAGAACTCTGTAGGGTAAGGCAGGTCCTAGTCAATAACGGCTTCTCCAATGGTTTCGTCGAAGACATCATAAGAAGGAAAGTGAAAAGCCATGCAACCTCTGAAGAGACAACTAACACAACACCTATACCCCCTATTAGACTATTTTACAGGAACTTCTTTTCCACAGCTCATAAAACGGAGGAAAGGGTCCTGAAAGATATTGTTAATAGAAACGTTATCCCTACAGACAAAAATCAGAGGATACAACTGACGATTTACTATAAAACCAGAAAAACGGCCAGCCTACTCATGAGAAACTCTCCAGACACAAAACAGAACGCTTTAAAAGAGACTAACGTCGTCTATGCCTTCAAATGCCCTCTTGGGGACTGTAAGCTCCAAAAAACCCAGTATATAGGCAAGACAACAACATCTCTTTCTAGGCTAGTTTTACGATGCATAAGCAACAGGGCTCCATTAAGGAACATATAACCTCTTCCCACAACCAAACCATCGCCAGAGAAATCCTAGTAAACAACACAGAAATCATCGATAGATACAGCGATAGCAGGCGGCTTGACATCTGCGAGGCACTACACATCAAGAAGTCAACACCAGCAATCAACAGCCAATTATTGCACAACATATATATATAATATATATATAATATATATATATATATATATTATATATATATATATAATATATATATATTGTCTGCACATTTTGGAGTGATAGTCATGTGAATATTTTAGGAGCCAAGTAGCTTTATAAAGGACATGTAGTAAATCATTTGTTATTTTCCAAATCATGATTTCGTTAATTTACTTCTATAATTTCATAAGTTTTGAATGTAAAAGTTATTTTGTAACATGTAAATAAATGTTTTATATTATGCTTTTCAATGTCGCAATATTTTTTGTTATATTAAAATGGAAAAATATCCCGGAAGAGAGGTGTTCAAACTTTCTGACGCTCCTAAATGTTCATGTTTAAACCCAATAGTGTGTGAAGAGTGAGTCAGTGGTAGTGATAGTGGTAGTGTTAGTGTTAGTGGTAGTGTTAGTGGTAGTGTTAGTGGTAGTGTTAGTGGTAGTGTTAGTGGTAGTGTTAGTGGTAGTGTTAGTGTTAATGGTGTGGGCGCTGCTCTCTACACAGCTGTTAGTGACAGGTTATCTTGAGATGATTTCGGGGCTTTAGTATCCCCGCGGCCCAGTCCTCGACCAGGCCTCCACCCACAGGAAGCAGCCCGTGACAGCTGACTAACACCCAGGTATCTATTTTACTGCTAGGTAACAGGGGCATAGGGTGAAAGAAACTCTGCCCATTGTTTCTCGCCGGCGCCTGGGATCGAACCTAGGAACACAGGATCACAAGTCCAGCGTGCTGTCCGCTCGGCCGACCGGCTCCCTGAAGTGTACATACAGGTGTGGATATTACCACAACAGTAACCTCGGGTTGTAAGTATATACTAGAAATAGACAGTCTATTGTTCGAGACAGAGTTCTTATAGCTTTCTATCTTCAATTTGCTCTCAATATTAAAGAAAATGTTTCACATTTGTAAAAATAAAAAATATATTTTATCGTAAAATTTTATGTTTCGAAGCAAACTAATAAAGTGAGTAATAGTTAAGTTATTGAGAGGTAACGGTAATATACAAATGTGTAATATGCCTGTTGTAAGTTAACACATTGACTCGTTATTTAATATATCATTAGATGTATATAACAACAGAACTTTGATGTGAACAATGTGAACAGTCTACGAGGACTGGCTTCTGGCTTCAGAAATTATGCATCGCATCTTGACGTTAAAGTCCCTCAACGGACATAATATGATACAATATAAATCATGGCAGGTGGCAAACAGCCACGTTTTCTGTGCGTGTGTCGATGGTTGTGTTAGGTTCGGGCAATGTAATAGACGTAGTGACCACTAGAGAGCGGCTGGGCTGTGTATTGATTACAATGTGTGCCCCAGTTTATTTGTTTACTGTTTTGTGAATAAATCATTGTTTGAATTAATATTATCTCTCTCATTACACTTCGGTTGTCACGATTAGAGAAGCGTATAAATTGAGGCGTTTCGTGCGTCGCAGTAAGCGTACGAACCTGGACCCGGATTCACGAAGCAGTTACACAAGTACTTACGAACGGGTACATCTTTCCTCAATCTTTAGCGGCTTTGGTTACATTTATTAAACAGTTTACAAGCATGAAAACTTGCCACACAACTGTTGTTATTGTTATAAACAGCCTCCTGGTGCTTCGGAGCTCATTAACTGTTTAATAATTGTAAACAAAGCCGCCAAAGATTGAGAAAAGTTGTACAGGCTTGTAAGTGCTTGCGTAACTGCTTCGTGTAACTGGCCCCAGGACCTTCACAAATAAAGTTTGAAAACCTGTTTTATTTTGTAAGACATTTACGAGGTGTTTGTAGTCTGTAGTCTGTGTTTGTAGTTTGTAGGAGTAGTCTGCATCATTCTTGACACTAGTGACTGACACCGTTGGTATGGTTGCAGGGCTGAGGGCGTCACGTGTCTCCGGCAGCGTCAGCACCTACGTCTGGCGCCACCACTAACAGGTTAGTGACTCCACTATGCACCCTGGCGCCCTCACACACCTCGTCGCACTCTCCCACACCCAAACACCGCCCCACACCAACACCCAACCAAACCCAAATTCTCCACATTACAACCAAACGCAACCAATCCATACCATGCACTGAGTCACACACCACTACACCACACCGTGCCACACCGTGCCACACTACACCACACTACACCACACTACACCATACTGGGCCACACCACACCACACCGTGCTACACCACACACCGTGCTACACCACACCACACTACACCACACTACACCACACTACACCATACTGGGCCACACCACACCACACCATATTACACCATACTGGGCCACACCACACCACACCGTGCCACACTACACCACACTACACCACACCGTGCCACACTACACCACACAACACCACACTACACCACACTTCACCACACTACACACAACACCACACTACACCACACAACACCACACTACACAACTCTACAACAACACTGCGATCTTCCCATTATATTAAAAAAATATATAATAATATTTTCAGAAGGAAATCATATTATTGCCATTATTAAGACGGCCACACACAAGGTAAGTTATGACACCGTTGCTGATGATTAGTAGTCCCCCCCCGGTGCCGCCAGGGGTGGTACAACCCCCGCCAGTGGCTGAAGAACCCCCGCCAGTGGCTGAAGAACCCCCGCCAGTGGCTGAAGAACCCCCGCCAGTGGCTGAAGAACCCCCGCCAGTGGCTGAAGAACCCCCTCCAGTGGCTGAAGAACCCCCGCCAGTGGCTGAAGAACCCCCGCCAGTGGCTGAAGAACCCCCTCCAGTGGCTGAAGAACCCCCTCCAGTGGCTGAAGAACCCCCGCCAGTGGCTGAAGAACCCCCGCCAGTGGCTGAAGAACCCCCGCCAGTGGCTGAAGAACCCCCGCCAGTGGCTGAAGAACCCCCGCCAGTGGCTGAAGAACCCCCGCCAGTGGCTGAAGAACCCCCGCCAGTGGCTGAAGAACCCCCGCCAGTGGCTGAAGAACCCCCGCCAGTGGCTGAAGAACCCCCGCCAGTGGCTGAAGAACCCCCGCCAGTGGGTGAAGAACCCCCGCCAGTGGCTGAAGAACCCCCTCCAGTGGCTGAAGAACCCCCGCCAGTGGCTGAAGAGCCCCCGCCAGTGGCTGAAGAGCCCCCGCCAGTGGCTGAAGAACCCCCGCCAGTGGCTGAAGAACCCCCGCCAGTGGCTGAAGAACCCCCGCCAGTGGCTGAAGAACCCCCGCCAGTGACTGAAGAACCCCCGCCAGTGACTGAAAAACCCCCGCCAGTGGCTGAAGAACCCCTCCAGTGGGTGAAGAACCCCCGCCAGTGGCTGAAGAACCCCCGCCAGTGGCTGAAGAACCCCCGCCAGTGGGTGAAGAACCCCCGCCAGTGGCTGAAGAACCCCCACCAGTGGCTGAAGAACCCCCGCCAGTGGGTGAAGAACCCCGCCAGTGGCTGTAGCACCCCCGCCAGTGGCTGAAGAACCCCTCCAGTGGCTGTAGCACCCCCGCCAGTGGCTGTAGAACCCCTCCAGTGGCTGTAGCACCCCCGTCAGTGGCTGAAGAACCCCTCCAGTGGCTGTAGCACCCCCGCCAGTGGCTGTAGAACCCCTCCAGTGGCTGTAGCACCCCCGCCAGTGGCTGAAGAACCCCCGCCAATGGCTGTAGAACCCCTCCAGTGGCTGTAGCACCCCCGCCAGTGGCTGAAGAACCCTCCAGTGGCTGTAGCACCCCCGCCAGTGGCTGAAGAACCCCCTCCAGTGGCTGAAGAACCCCCCCGCCAGTGGCCGAAGAACCACCGCCAGTGGCTGTAGCACCCCCGCCAGTGGCTGTAGAACCCCCGCCAGTGGCTGTAGAACCCCCGCCAGTGACTGTAGAACCCCCGCCAGTGGCTGTAGAACCCCCGCCAGTGGCTGTAGAACCCCCGCCAGTGGCTGAAGAACCACTCCAGTGGCTGTAGAACCCCCGCCAGTGGCTGTAGAACCCCCGCCAGTGGCTGTAGAACCCCCGCCAGTGGCTGTAGAACCCCCGCCAGTGGCTGTAGAACCCCCGCCAGTGGCTGTAGAACCCCCGCCAGTGGCTGAAGAACCACTCCAGTGGCTGTAGAACCCCTCCAGTGGCTGTAGAACCCCCGCCAGTGGCTGAAGAACCACTCCAGTGGCTGTAGAACCCCCGCCAGTGGCTGTAGCACCCCCCCCGCCAGTGGGTGAAGAACCCCCGCCAGTGGCTGTAGAACCCCCGCCAGTGGCTGTAGCACCCCCGCCAGTGGCTGTAGCACCCCCGCCAGTGGCTGAAGAACCCCTCCAGTGGCTGTAGCACCCCCGCCAGTGGCTGAAGAACCCCTCCAGTGGCTGAAGAACCCCCCCAGTGGCTGTAGAACCCCCGCCAGTGGCTGTAGCACCCCCGCCAGTGGCTGAAGAACCCCCGCCAGTGGCTGTAGCACCCCCGCCAGTGGCTGTAGCACACCCCCGCCAGTGGCTGTAGCACCCTCGCCAGTGGCTGTAGCACCCCCGCCAGTGGCTGTAGCACCCCCGCCAGTGGCTGTAGCACCCCCGCCAGTGGCTGTAGCACCCCCGCCAGTGGCTGTAGCACCACCCCCGCCAGTGGCTGTAGAACCCCCGCCAGTGGCTGTAGCACCCCTGCCAGTGGCTGTAGAACCCCCGCCAGTGGCTGTAGCACCCCCGCCAGTGGCTGTAGAACCCCCGCCAGTGGCTGTAGCACCCCCGCCAGTGGCTGTAGAACCCCCGCCAGTGGCTGTAGCACCCCCGCCAGTGGCTGTAGAACCCATGCCACTACCAATCATTGTCTTCCAGAGCTTTGCCGACTTAAGCTGTCCCAAAGAGTACTCTGGCAGATTGTTTATGCGTAGATCTATATTATCCTGGATGACGAAGTGTGTCGAGCGTGAGGCGCGTCGAGCGTGAGGCGCGTCGAGCGTGAGGCGCGTCGAGCGTGAGGCGCGTCGAGCGTGAGGCGCGTCGAGCGTGAGGCGCGTCGAGCGTGAGGCGGGTCGAGCGTGAGGCGCGTGGAGCGTGAGGCGCGTCGAGCGTGAGGCGGCAGAGAAGCAGCAACACTCAAGAGGTCATGAAAGGTGTGGAGGATGTAGTACAGATGACCCTCCTGGCCTCAGACGGCCCCGCCACTCCCGCCATGACACCAACCCTTCCGCGCCCTCCCTGGCTGCCGGTCACACGGGGCTTAAGGAGCTCATGACATTGGCTATCAGGGCCAGGTGTGTGTATCAGGGCCAGGTGTGTGTATCAGGGCCAGATGTGTGTATCAGGGCCAGATGTGTGTATCAGGGCCAGGTGTGTGTATCAGGGCCAGGTGTGTGTTTCAGGGCCAGATGTGTGTATCAGGGCCAGATGTGTGTTTCAGGGCCAGATGTGTGTATCAGGGCCAGGTGTGTGGTAGTATGAGGCCCGGACGTGTGGTAGTATGAGGCTCGGGTATGAGGGGAGAATATGGCCCGGATATGAGAGAGTAGGAGCCTCGGGTATGAGGGGCAGGGACCACCACCCTCACAGGAACATGGTGATGGCTGGTCAGTATCGACCTGCAACAAAATTAGACGAGGGATTATAGACGCTGTCCACGTGATGACTCCCCTTCCCTCCCATCCCCCTCCCATCCCCCTCCTTCCGTCCCCTTTCTATCTCTACATCCAACCCCCTCTCCCCCTCCATAGCTCTTCCTCTCCCGTCCCCTCCCCTTCCCTTCGCATCTCTACGTCCTCCCATCTCCCTACATCCCTCCCTCCCCCCTCACCCTTCTACTTCGCCAGTTCTCCCTTCCACTAAAGGAAGAGAGGGAGAGACGGACGCTGGAATAGGAAGGATGGTAAAGGGGAAGTAACCAAATTTGTAGAGGGGAATTAATGGATAGAGATGAGAAATGGAAATAGAAAAAGAGTAAGGATGGAGACACGGTGTGAGGGGGGAATGTAGTAGAGGGACGAGATAAAGAGGGGAAGGATTGGGTAAGAGGGAAGAGGCCAGGGAGTGTGAGGATGGAGGACAGTTCACAGAAAGTGGGCGGAGTGAGGGTGTAAGTGGGCGGGGTGGGTGGAGTGGGCGAGCCACCTGCTCTCTCTCCTGCACTCTAGATACACTAATCTTTTTTTTCCCTATTCTGGAAAGCTTCTTCCGTCACGTCTGTCCCCCTGGCGGCAAGCACAGGTGACGGGGGGACAGAGAGAGCAGCAGGGACTCTGACGGAGCCGTCGACGCCCCGTCCTGCGTGGTCTCTACGCCATAGAGCAGGCCATAAGGCTCCTGGTAGCGGAGGTAGAGCCTGGCGGCACTCTTGGCAGTAGCTGAGGCCCGCCTGGATCTAATTCGTGAACACGAAGGACAGGTGTTTGGGTGTGGAGTTACCATAGAGCCGTGACGGGCAGCGGCTACTCTCCCCCAGCACCTCCACCTGTCTACTGTCGCGGGGAAGGTAGAGGATCACTGTCCCAAGGAGGCTCAGCCTCTCAACACCCGTCCACAAGAGCAGCAGCATCATGGCACCATCGTGGCACCTTAATGGCACCATAACGGCACCATCGTGGCACCACAATGACACCCATATTGTAGGTTTACGGCCTCAAACTTGGGTTCGTTCTCGACATGAAATCGAGAATCCTGGGTTCGACAATCCCGGACGAAATAGAAATGCCTCGGCACGTTTCCTATCACCTAATCCAGCTGTTCACCTAGCCGCAGATAGGTACCCGGCAGTTAGGAGGACTAGTAGTTCGACCTTGGGGGGGGGGACCTTGATATAAGCCTAACCAAACCAACGACGAAACACGTTTGAACACGTAACAAGTTGTAACAACCAATACAGCAAGTTGTAACAACTGTCTAATTCGTCATAAAAACGTTATAACAAGAAGTAACAACTTTATTGCAAGTTGTAACTGGAATCATAGCGACCGTTACGTTGTGTGTGTTTGCAGGGTTGTACATCTGTATATACACAGGCTGCCTGTCACCAACAATATGAATTATTATTATTATTTATATAATTAAACATAGTCTGGTGATGAGAGAAACCTTACCACACTTGGGTCAGCCCCGCGGCCACCAGACGCTAGTGAGCTTCACATTAAGAGATTATGGTAAACCTCCCTGGGTAGTGTTGAGAACCTCTAGGTAAACTACCAAGCTGGTGCTCGTTAAGGCGGCCAGCAGTGTAATTACCGCCATTGATGACGCATCTTGTATCTCCGTAACATGTCTCTCTCTGTATCTCTCGTGTGTGTGAGTGGCTGAGAACAGGTTTGTGTCGTGTACTGTGACACAGTACACGGTCATCAGCGATACCGGTCTTGGGTTATTTATTATTTACAGTAATTGGGTGAATTCACTACAAGCCAGGGTGTCACAGCTGCCGCAGTGACGGTCACGGGGCACCCGTCCACCGTGTGGCCTGAGCAGTTATGGTGCTAGACAGGTGCAGTGTGAGGTCCCTCACTTCTCACTGATTAAAGGTATGCGACAGGTGGAGTAGTGAGAACACTTTCTACACTACACGCACCTGCCCTCCACCCACCCGCCCTCCACCCACCTGGCCTCCACCCACCCAGCCCCCAATATGCAGTTTTCCCAGGGCCACTCAGCAATTACACACTCTTAATGGTTTGTACATGTTTACCTTTGGGGGTACTGTAGGAGTACTCCGGGGGTACTCTGAGGGTATTGTAGGAGTACTCTGGGGGTACTCTGAGGGTATTGTAGGAGTACTCTGGGGGTACTCTGAGGGTATTGTAGGAGTACTCTGGGGGTACTCTGGGGGTACTCTGAGGGTACTGTAGGAGTACTCTGGGGGTACTGTGGCACATGCCCAGAGCCCAGCGTGGGGACGGAAGGCCATCTTCCTCTCTACGGAGCCTCGAAAATGTGTTCCTTCTGAAGACTGGTAATTTACGCCGGTATATACGGAGTTCGCACCGGTATACCAGGAGTTCACACCGGTATACCAGGAGTTCACACCGGTATACCAGGAGTTCGCACTGGTATACAAGGAGTTCGCACCGGTATACAAGGAGTTCGCACCAGTATACAAGGAGTTCGCACCGGTATACAAGGAGTTCGCACCGGTATACAAGGAGTTTGCACCGGTATACAAGGAGTTTGCACCGGTATACAAGGAGTTCGCACCAGTATACAAGGAGTTCGCGCCGGTATACAAGGAGTTCGCACCAGTATACAAGGAGTTCACACCGGTATACAAGGAGTTTGCACCGGTATACAAGGAGTTTGCACCGGTATACAAGGAGTTTGCACCGGTATACAAGGAGTTTGCACCGGTATACAAGGAGTTTGCACCGGTATACAAGGAGTTCGCACCAGTATACAAGGAGTTCGCGCCGGTATACAAGGAGTTCGCACCAGTATACAAGGAGTTCACACCGGTATACAAGGAGTTCGCACCGGTATACCAGGAGTTCACACCGGTATACCAGGAGTTCACACCGGTATACCAGGAGTTC